TGGTTGTTGTTGACTGTGATGATGATTGTTGTTGTTGTTGACTGTGATGATGATTGTTGTTGTTGTTGACTGTGATGATGATTGTTGTTGTTGACTGTGATGATGATTGTTGTTGTTGACTGTGATGATGGTTGTTGTTGTTGTTGACTGTGATGATGGTTGTTGTTGTTGTTGTTGACTGTGATGATGGTTGTTGTTGTTGTTGACTGTGATGATGGTTGTTGTTGTTGACTGTGATGATGGTTGTTGTTGTTGTTGACTGTGATGATGATTGTTGTTGTTGTTGACTGTGATGGTGGTTGTTGTTGTTGTTGACTGTGATGATGGTTGTTGTTGTTGTTGACTGTGATAATGGTTGTTGTTGTTGTTGACTGTGATGATGGTTGTTGTTGTTGTTGTTGACTGTGATGATGGTTGTTGTTGTTGACTGTGATGATGATTGTTGTTGTTGACTGTGATAATGGTTGTTGTTGCTGTTGACTGTGATGATGGTTGTTGTTGTTGTTGTTGTTGACTGTGATGATGATTGTTGTTGTTGTTGACTGTGATGGTTGTTGTTGTTGTTGACTGTGATGATGATTGTTGTTGTTGACTGTGATAATGGTTGTTGTTGCTGTTGACTGTGATAATGGTTGTTGTTGTTGTTGACTGTGATAATGGTTGTTGTTGTTGTTGACTGTGATGATGGTTGTTGTTGTTGTTGTTGACTGTGATGATTGTTGTTGTTGTTGACTGTGGTGATTGTTGTTGTTGTTGACTGTGATAATGGTTGTTGTTGCTGTTGACTGTGATGATTGTTGTTGTTGTTGACTGTGATGATGATTGTTGTTGTTGACTGTGATAATGGTTGTTGTTGCTGTTGACTGTGATGATGGTTGTTGTTGTTGTTGTTGACTGTGATGATGATTGTTGTTGTTGACTGTGATAATGGTTGTTGTTGCTGTTGACTGTGATGATTGTTGTTGTTGTTGACTGTGATGATGATTGTTGTTGTTGTTGACTGTGATGATGGTTGTTGTTGTTGTTGCTGTTGACTGTGATGATGGTTGTTGTTGTTGACTGTGATGATGGTTGTTGTTGGTGTTGTTGTTGGCTGTGATGATGATTGTGGTTGTGGTTGACTGTGATGATGATTGTTGTTGTTGTTGACTGTGATGATGATTGTTGTTGTTGTTGACTGTGATGATGGTTGTTGTTGTTGTTGTTGTTGACTGTGATGATGGTTGTTGTTGTTGTTGACTGTGATGATGGTTGTTGTTGTTGACTGTGATGATGGTGGTTGTTGTTGTTGACTGTGATGATGATTGTTGTTGTTGTTGACTGTGATGATGATTGTTGTTGTTGTTGACTGTGATGATGATTGTTGTTGTTGTTGACTGTGATGGTGGTTGTTGTTGTTGACTGTGATGATGATTGTTGTTGTTGCTGTTGACTGTGATGATGGTTGTTGTTGTTGTTGACTGTGATGATGATTGTTGTTGTTGTTGACTGTGATGGTTTGTTGTTGTTGTTGACTGTGATGGTGGTTGTTGTTGTTGACTGTGATGGTGGTTGTTGTTGTTGACTGTGATGATGGTTGTTGTTGTTGTTGACTGTGATGATGATTGTTGTTGTTGTTGACTGTGATGATGATTGTTGTTGTTGTTGACTGTGATGGTGGTTGTTGTTGTTGACTGTGATGATGATTGTTGTTGTTGTTGACTGTGATGATGGTTGTTGTTGTTGACTGTGATGATGATTGTTGTTGTTGTTGACTGTGATGATGATTGTTGTTGTTGTTGACTGTGATGGTGGTTGTTGTTGTTGACTGTGATGATGATTGTTGTTGTTGCTGTTGACTGTGATGATGGTTGTTGTTGTTGTTGACTGTGATGATGATTGTTGTTGTTGTTGACTGTGATGGTGGTTGTTGTTGTTGACTGTGATGATGATTGTTGTTGTTGTTGACTGTGATGGTGGTTGTTGTTGTTGACTGTGATGGTGGTTGTTGTTGTTGACTGTGATGATGGTGGTTGTTGTTGTTGACTGTGATGATGGTTGTTGTTGTTGTTGACTGTGATGATGATTGTTGTTGTTGACTGTGATGGTGGTTGTTGTTGTTGACTGTGATGATGGTGGTTGTTGTTGTTGACTGTGATGGTTGTTGTTGTTGTTGACTGTGATGATGATTGTTGTTGTTGTTGTTGACTGTGATGGTGGTTGTTGTTGTTGACTGTGATGATGATTGTTGTTGTTGTTGACTGTGATGGTTGTTGTTGTTGTTGACTGTGATGATGATTGTTGTTGTTGACTGTGATGGTGGTTGTTGTTGTTGACTGTGATGATGGTGGTTGTTGTTGTTGACTGTGATGGTTGTTGTTGTTGTTGACTGTGATGATGATTGTTGTTGTTGTTGTTGACTGTGATGGTGGTTGTTGTTGTTGACTGTGATGATGATTGTTGTTGTTGTTGACTGTGATGGTTGTTGTTGTTGTTGACTGTGATGATGATTGTTGTTGTT